GTGGGGGACGGCGTGTCCCCAGGGCTCTGTCCCGCTGCTACCGGGGGACACGGTGTCCCTGGGAGCAGGGGGGGACCAGCCCACACTGGGGGGAGGAACCAGGTTTTGGGGAGATGGAAGGACAGACATTACCTGCAGCCTGGGGAACGCGGCGCCCTGGAAGGATGAGAGACAAGGTCAGGGTAGGAGCAGGGACAGGGACACCCCCCCATCCCCGAGGAGACCCCCCCTCACCCCCCCAAAGTCTCCCGGCCCCTCACCTTCTTGCGCACGTAGAGGAAGAGCCCCAGCGCCAGGAAGATGAGCCCCAGCACGAAGCCCCCCACCCCCGTCAGCATCTTGCTCCTGGCGCCGTCCGACTGCAGCTCTGCGGGGATGAGAAGGGGGGGTCAGGCCTGGGGGGCCCCGGCCCCCTCCCCACCCACACCAGGGGGTCACACCCCCCTCCCTGCTCAGGGTGACACCCCCAGCCTCACCCCAGTGCAGGGTGACGGGGTGCTGCAGGCTGACGTGCTCCACGTGGCAGGTGTAGGTGTCCCCGCGCTGCGGGGTGGTTTCCAGCATCACCAGCACCTGGTAGGTCCAGTCCCCGTTCTGCATCACCTCCGTGGACACCACGTGCTCCGTCTCCTCCTGCCCGTTCCTCAGCCACTTCACCTCGATCTCCGAGGGGTAAAAACCCGTCACGGCGCAAACCAGCCTGTCGGTCTGGGGCAGGGAGCCCGACTGCATCGGGTAGATTTCCAACTGGGGCTGAACTGGGGGAGAGATAGAGCGGGTTGGGGAGGGTCTTGGGGAGCACAAGGGCCACCCAGCCCAGCACAGGAGCCTTCTAGCCCAGACTCTGTCCTGGATCTCTCTCTGCTCCCCACACAGGACATGCCCAACGGGCTGTTGCAAGGGACTCCCATCCCCACGGATGGGCACAGGGGCTGCCCGGGGCTTGGCTTGTGCCCGTTCCCCGGGGAAATGTTCTGCCACGCGCTCACCTCTCCTCTCCACGATGAAAGGCGTCCACTCCCGGTAGTTGTGCCGACAGACTGTGTCCACCTCGCTTGTGCCCGTTCCCCGGGGAAATGTTCTGCCACGCGCTCACCTCTCCTCTCCACGATGAAAGGCGTCCACTCCCGGTAGTTGTGCCGACAGACTGTGTCCACCTCGGTCCGTGCCCTCTCCAGGACGTCCGGCTGGCTGTTCCAGTCCTTGGCACTGCTATCGCCCAGGGGGGTGTCAGCCACAAAGTGCCCCACATCGCTGTCAAAGTGCACGTACTGCTCCCGGTTGTAGATGACTCTCGTCACAAGCTTCACCCGCTCGGTGCCGTTGGTGAAGGAACAGTCAGCCTTAAACTGGAGCTCAAAATACCCTGCCCGTGCAGACACGGGGAGGTCAGGGTCCTGCCGTGACTCCCCATCCCCGAGGGAGCTGGGAGGATGCTGTGGCCCCCCCTCTGCATCATCCCGCTCCCCTTTTCCACCCATCTCCTCCCTCCCCAGCCTCCTCCCGCACCCAGTTCCACCCAAAGGGGTCTCCATCCCCCTCCCGCACCCAGCACCTCCCAGGGCACGTGTGGGACCCCTCCCCACCCACCCCACGGCTCTGAGCTCACCTGAGGTCTCCTCGCCACCAGCCCCATGGGCTCCCAGCACCACCAGTGCCACCAGCACGGCCCCAGCTCCCAGCACACGAACGCTCTCCATCGCTGCTCACAGCAGAGCCTGCAAAGGTGCAAGGATCCCTGAGCGAGCCCGACTCTGCCAGTTCGGGGTATCACCCGCTCCTGCCCAGTGCCGGGACTGGGAGTCCCAGTGAGGACCAGTGAGGAGCGGGGCTGGGCAGCATCACCTGTCACCAGGCAGAGCTGGGACCTGCAGGGCACCCTCTGACGTTTCTCCCCCAGCTCCAGCCTGGTCCCCTTGCAGCCCGGGGCAGGGAGCAGGGTCGGGCCCATGCCCGCAGGGATGGGAGAGCCAAGCCCAGGGCTCCCAGGGACTGCACCCCAGGGAGACTCCTTGATGGGGCGCCCCGCAACCGCGTCCTGGTGGTGGGACCCCGTCCTGGATTCCCTCCCTCCCTCTGCTCCGCAGGGTGCCTGGTGCTGCTGCTCTGCCTGGGAACAGACGAGTCAGCGCCAGGGCTCCCTCCGAGAGGCTGAGTATTTCAGGGGGGGCCCTGTCACCCGGGAATGGGGGCCCTGGCTGAGAGAGACATCCTCCCCTCGCCCGCTCCTGCTCTCGCTGCCCGGTGCCAGGAGAGGCGATGGCCGGAGGATGG